GTAATCACTATGTTCGTCGTGTATCTCCTTTGGATACTCTAAATCAACTTCAAGAATGTAGGCATTGTCGTCGTTCTCATTCCAGTCCACTATCATCTGTTCCGTCAGCATCTTCTTTATCCATTTGAGTTTTCCTATGGGTAGTTTCATTGACATTGCCAGTCTATAAAGGTTGTTGGCATCTAAATAGTTGATGTAGTTAGATGGTTTTGTTTCATCATATTCGTCTTTCATATACTTATTGTTTGCCTTTGCCTCCTTATGACCCACTTGACACATTCCACCTCTCAAACCTCTCTCAATCATTTCATAAATCTCTTGCTCGGTAATCGGTTCTAACACCACTCCAGTTTTTAGAAGCATAGCATCCCAAGCAAAGTTAGGAAGTGTAAAATAATGTACGGGGTCTAAACCGTAGTATTCCAAACAAAGGTCTCTAAAATTTTCAAAGACATCAGTAAGCAATAAAACATCAGTTCTCAAATATAAGTCGTGATATTGACCAAGATTTCTTATACCGAAATGTTCCCATATCTTAAGTTCTCTTTCATACTCATCATCTTCAATATGACTTTCGGTGAGATTACTGTAAAACGCTTTCTTCGGTGGTAATTGTTTTTCTCTAAACTTGTCAAATGAAGTGAAGTAATCGTATGGATAGACACCTTTGTCAGTGAGTAAGTCTAAACCAATGTCATTACTTACATAGGGGTTTCTTTTACTGAACTTGAAGTTGTTTTGCCAGTTTTCTTTCTTCTGTCCATCTTCATACTTGCTCAACTTGACCAACTTGTCCAATGAGGACGATAAGAATGAAAAACTGTCTTTGAAACACATATTCTTGAATGCGAAGGTTATGAACTTCTCACTGTTCTGTGCTATTACATCTATCTTGGCATTTTTAGATAGTTGATTGGCTCTTTCAATGACTAAATGACTGTCATAGTTCTTCAAGTTATGAAGGAAGACTGGAATTTTGTAATAACGCATTGAAAACTGTAAATTACAGTCATCGTGGGCACATCCCCTATACTTACCTGTAAAATGGCAATGGTCTCTACACTTTTTGTCTCCTTCCTTGAAGTCCTCACCACAAATGAAACATTTAGTGGCGGTTTTAAAGTCCCTCCAGTCTTCGTCCTTCATAATGATGTCCTTGTTTTCTTTCATCTTCTCCATTATCTTATCTTTTACTTCAATCATCTTTTCCACGAAGACATCCATACAATCCTCACCCCTATATAGGAATGGTTCATTTGAAGCATCAATTGAATTGACAACATTTATCATAAAAACCGCAGGGTCTGTGATGTTGGTATTTGTCAGTCTTGATTGGTTTGGTGCTTACTGTTCCTGTTTTGGTAGTCAAACATTCAAAATCAGCATATATAACGAATGGTGCTTTTAGTTTCTTAAAGTGGTTCTTGAATTTAACGAAGAACTTGTCAGGGTTCTCTGGGTCAAACTTTGGCATCTCTATAGTTTGCCCTTCCACTGCCATACATCCCTTTTCCTTATGATTGGTTAATTCATCCTCTGAATGAAACACACCCGAACAATGATGACAAATAAACTTCTTTGCTTTCCGCTTACCAGCCTGTTGATACATCAATTTGTTAAAATCTTTGATATAAACATAGTGGTGATTGTCTCCATCAGTTATTTTCAATAGGTCTATGTGGTGAGTTGCTTTGACAACTGAAGTCCTCTTATACAGTAGGATTGATTGCTTACCATCTTCATCATCAATGTAACAGACATTGACTGATACTTTACCTTCGTTGTTCTGTTTAAAAAGGAATCAAATAATCCTGTCACATGTTGGGGTCTGCTTGTGTTTATTGTGAATTGACTCAATTGATTGATTTGTGTGGTATTACAGCCTGAGGGTTGCACCTGGATGGTATTTTTCAATGCTTTGTCAAATGTTGGGGCCTGCTTGTCATGTGTCATTGTGAATTGACTCAATTGACTTGAACCAGATTGATTTGTGTAGTGGCCAGTGGTATTGAAGCTTGAAGTTTGTGCCGGGATGGTCTTTCAATGCCAATGCAGGCTGCCAGATTCATCATCAGGCCAAGGACTCAGGAAGCCTTTACTTTTATACGCAGGGTCAGAAGCCTTGGACTGGTATTGTTGTCAGTGAAGAAACCAAACAAAATTGTGGACTGGATTGATTAATTCTTTTACCGCAGGTTTTTTGGCCCATGAGCACATTTGTTGGTTTTGCCATTTTGGTCATTTGTGTCAATTTATTCATCATGGACCAGCAAGCTGGCCTCGCGTTTCTTCCGGTGATGGTGCTGTCCACTGTGACAGCCAGTGCCAGCCTTCAAGGCCCAAGTGCAGCTTCAGAAGATGACGATCAAGAGAAATGGCTGGATGACAAGCTCCAACAGATTTCTTCGTTAGATTTCTATGATTTCTTGGCCTTCAGCAAATTCAATAGGCGCTGATGCTGTTTTTGTTCTTGGAAAATTGAGACAACATGCATTGAAATTGAAATCATTCTTTGATGATCAATGAATAACCTCGAAGTCCATTTTGTTAATTGCCCTGCAGGCGTGTCGACTGGCCAGAAGGACTGCATCATGTCAAGTCCACATGTCAAGACTTTCTTGATTTTGACCAAGAGAATGGCGGCAGGGCCTCGAAAGTGTGGCCTTCATTTTTGTGTGAAGCATATCCTTTTTTGCGCGGCGCAACATCGTGCTTGGAGATGATGGTGCTGGTTGCTGAAAGGTTTCTTTTCAATTTGGTCAATTTCAATGAATTGGATCAATTGGAATTTGTTGAGTTTTGTGCTGGCCGAGCCCATCTCAGTTGAGAGATGCTGCGTCAAGGATTTCACCAAGGAGCTTCTGTGGACATTCTTTTTCATCCCCACCATGACATGTTGAGTTCCAAGGGGCTGAGGACTTGGTTTGACATGGTAGTGGCTTCTCGGCGAAAGTCGTTACACTGGTTTGCTACCAGATGCTCGAGCTTCGTCCCGCTCTGTATCTCTCAAAGCATGAGATATGAGGAGAATTCATTCTACGGGGATAGAAGCAGGCCATAGGTGGAGCAGGGCAACCTTCAACAGGAAGTAACTGCAATGATGATGTTCTTCAGTTTCCTCTTGGATTGCATTCCGGTGTTGGAGCAACCCACAGGGAGTGTGCTTCCAAAACTACCATCCCTTCGTAATGTTTTGTGGTTCTTCGACTTCAAGAAGACAGTGACCTACATGGGAAGCTTTGCTGGCCCAACAAGCAAGCCTCTCCAGATCTGGCATCCGTCTTCAGGGCCTGGCTCCCTATTTGCAGCCATCGCCAGGCCAAGGCCAGATGGCTTGGACAATTTGGCTTCCAGTGGCCAGAGCTGGGATGGAAGCCACACTTACACTGGCAATAAGGAGATGCTCATCGAAAGCGAGCACTACACGCCAGAGTTTGGCGCTTGTGTCGCCCAAATCTACGAGCAGATTCGAGCTTCGTGAAAACTTCACAACGCTCAATTTGCTCAGCGTTGTCCATTCAAAAGTGTCTTGAATGCGACAAGAGTACTATAGCCCAAGGGTTCTTTTGTGCTGACTCACCTGGACCTGAGTGGTGCGTCCCTCTGTCAACTTTGACCGTCTCTGTGGGGTCAAGAGGCAACATGGCATTTGCTCCAGCAAAAAAAATGCGCAATCAGTGACAGAGCACTGCAAGTTCAGCGCTTGCCATCTCATGTGCTTCAGTCAATTAGCTCAATTGAGTCATTAGCCCTTTGGCTTTTTGTACTTCAAATATGTGTACTGAGGTTGGAATTGTTCTGCTCCGCTACCAAGCTTGCTCCGCTACCAAGAGTTCAATGCAGGCATGCTTGACTTCTTTGACATTTATTAATATCAATTCCCATTCGCATTCCCAAAGCAAGACTCAAGAACCAGATCAGGTCTGGATGACGCTCTAGGCCTGCCTACTGTTTGTTGCTGGTCCTGCTTGCATTTTTTCAAAAGTAATTCTTAATAACTTGCTTGCAGGCTCGGCGAGAAGTGGCAATTGGATCAATTGACTTCAGCTGATTGTGGCAATTGAAACAATTGACTGACTGACTAATTGAGTTCAGCTTCTCATCTTCATTCTTTTGCCCACTTGGACAATTGTCGATTTGTGTTTCTGCATGCTTGGGTCAAAGCATGTTGGGCATGGCATGATTTCTTGCCTAGTGATTTTTTATTTTATTTTTTAAAAAAATGACATTTTTTAAATTTTTTTTGACAGAATTGACCGGTTCAATTGACAAAATTGACACAAGTCACACACATGATCGAAGCAATGACATGATTCAATTCACGCAGGTGAGGTCTACTAAGAAGACTCTTCACAATAATAACACAACCGCAGGTAAACGTTCAATCAACGTTTTACCATATTTTAGATTTTATCTTTTTGAAAATATATATTTTTTTAAATATTTTGTAAAAAAAATGAAGCCACATTTGTTTGCACAACGTTCTGGACAACAAATTAGTCTACCAAATTTCAGATTAGCCTACCTAAATTTCAGAAATGCCTATGTCATTTTCAAATCACCTAGGCATTTCTGAGATCAGGTAGGCATTCCTGAAAATCATGAACGGGCAAACCCCTACAAACTAATACCCTACGATCTGGGATGCATTCTTAAGTTTGTGATAATGGTTTTGATTTCAAGATGAGATTTATGACTACCGTTTGCGACAGCATGTCATTACCATAGGTAGGGTTTTGTTTCAAGGAAAGGCTCGGTAGGGTTTGGCCCGTGATGTCGGATGAAGAAAAGACGACAGCTCCACATGACCCCATCGACGCAATAAAGACGTACTTCAAAGTTGTTCCCTGGTTCAGTTTAAACTATGTCTTTTAATGGGGTCTGTGTCTTTTATATTTTTTCTCGGATGTTAAGAGTACATTGTTTGGTGGATACTTATCCTTGTTTTCACGAGGCAAATTTCCATGGGGCGATTCCTGAAATTGCCTAAGGTGACCTCAATGAAGAACCTTGGTGAGCATCTCAACGAAGTCTTTGCAGATCGGAGCAAGATGGAAGCTGCACCTTCCTTGCAAATAATTGTCTTACCTGAGTCTATAATCGTGAACCAGGTTGGGTCCATGGTTGTTGTGTCTGTTGTTGCGTTAGGTAATCAATGACTTGGTGCTGGATGGAGCCATTCCCGCGTCCAAGCAGCATGCAATCCTGGTGCCCAATCAAAGCATGGATGAGTTCTATTTGCCTCTTACTGCCTTTGACTATTCAAAAGCCGCGAAGAATGGATGTCGGGGGTTTTCAAAAAGTATCAAACGTTAAATCAAGTTTCAACCTTTCTGGCGTTAATCTACACCCAATGTTTATGGAGTGTTCACTGTGTTTTGTTCGCCCTTGTCCCTGCAGTCTTCCCCCCCAATGTGCAGTTCGAGACCCACATGATGGAATTCCTGAAGCATGGGTATCGTTCTTCCATTGGGAATTGTGAAGTCCGATTTCCTTTGGCTACTGGGGACCGGCGCATCCGACCATTCACGGTTGGACTGGATGACGGATTTGTCAAGATCCTTCTGATGTTCTCCATAGTTGCTTTTACCCGGGAGTTGGAGATTGAAATGAAGGATGATGATGGCAGTTTGAAGCGGGTGTTGGAGAGCTTCCGTTCAGTTCGGTGTTCCTACACCTTCTTTGAAAACCCTTCACATCATTTTTTGCATTCCCTCAGCTACTTAGTTATATTTGTAAACATTTCAACCTTTGGGTTTTTACTTTGGGAAGTAGTAAATGTTCATATGTTGTGTTGGGCTTGCAACTGTTGCCAACTAAGAAACCCAATGGGTAACAGCGGAGAAGCAAGTTCCAAGTCCCATCAACATCATGGCGGACATCAAGGAAACGATTGCTGTGGAAAAACGGCTCAACCGCCAAGGTCGGGGTGCACTCAAGGACATTCTTGGCAAGGTGATTGCTGAATACAACAAATTTTGCTCCAACAAGCGCCACAGAATTGACTCCACCCGCCGGAGTTTGATATACAATCTGTTCTTTAACTTGCATTCAGAAACTTTATCCCTTGATTTATTAGGCACCAATTGGTATGCTACTTTGACCAGGGTTTTCTTCCAAATTGGATGTTACCGTTACCAGGCTACGATGCCCGGACGAAGCCATACAGATGTTGCATGACCACTACGACCTGTACAAACATGAGGTCTCAGGACATGACTTGATAATTTCTGACTGAGTATTCCCGTCAGACTGGGTTAATTCTATCCGAAAATGATTTAAAAGGTGTGGTTTAACTTCCTTTAAAAAAAAAAGATGGGGGTTCATTTCAGCGTGTCCGACCCCTGAAGGATTGCCGCATGAGGTCTTGGCCCAAGACTATTTTGTCCCGGGATCATGCACCAGAAAGGAAGTGGAACGCTACAAAGGCAAACCAGTTTTTTCAGAAATCCTCACGACCAGCAATGAGACCCTGGTTCTTTATTTCCAGCGAGTTACGAAGGACACTGGAGTTTCAATCACTTGGCTCCATAAAAAATCCTCAATGTAAAAAATATTTCTGACTTTGTTGCCCACTGATCCACCCGTCATGTGCCGTGATAGCCTCTCCAGCTTCCACCTTTCAGGACTTTTGTCGCAAAGCCTCCAAGGACGCTGCGCTGAAGGCGAAGGCAAGATATTGTGAAAATGGGTTGCGGATACATATCTTACATAATATCCATGGGTTGTGTATCCAAAATTAGGGGCTGGTGACTATATTTTTCAATAATATACACCATATATATATATTAAAAAAAGTTTTAAACATAGAATTCTACAATATATAATTATAATATCTTGTAATATAACAAATATGTAATATACAGTTTATATATCTATTACATATAGTATATTATTTAATATTATATAGTATATGATATTTACATAATCTATAAAATATTATATAGTAATAATTTATGTTTTGTATAATAAATATTTAATATATAGTACTATACAGAATATATAAGGTATATTATTTAATATAATAAACAATATAAAAATATATAATGACAAATATTATATAATATATTATATTATTTAATATTATATAATCTACAATATTATACTTGTTATCCATATTACGAATGTTACCAATGATGTTTGAAGCCCCCTTTCCAGAAACAAGCTCAACGGAGTGAAGAAGAACACCATGAGCTACATGACATCTGCTGTGCTTGGCTTTGGGCTCGGAACAAGATGGAGACAGAGTTCCCTAAAGATGTGATTGACCGATACACTGGTTTGTTCTTTGACGGGTTTCTTGCCCAAGAAAACTTAGTAATCTGATTCTGGTGTCTCAGTTTTATCCCCAGAAATGGTTTATTTTTTGGAGCTAGAGAATTGGTTGCCATTTTTTGTTGGCTAGATGACTTAAATTGTGATTGGCTGCCAAAATTATTTGGCTAAAAATTGGATATGGTGATGGGGTGCCAAGAAAATTTGGCTAACCGAGGAGAATTGTGATGTGTTTTCCAGAAAACACGTCGCAATATCCAATTGATGACCAAACGGATGATGGGTTCCATTTCCGGCCAAACCATTTGAAATCAATCAAGTCTTGGATCTTCAAATTATGAGCCTAGTTTGATGTAGTTTCTGGAAACTGCGTCGCAAAATCCTAGTTTCCGGGGAAACGCATCATGGATGCAAGTTGAATTATTAACATATGATCTTGATTGGGACCCTGAAAATCAATGATTTTGTGATGCAGTTTCTAGAAACCGCGTCATTTTGATTTGCTTGGTCTAGGATTCCAAAGTTGATTGGGTTCCTATAAGTTCTTTATGATCTTGATTGGGGTCCTGGAAAATAGTTGTATCCCATATCATTTTGATCTGCTTGGTCTGGGATTCCAAAGTTGATTGCTATTTTCTTTCTGTATAGTCACCATATAAAAATGCTGTCAGTCAGACGTACTCCAAGTAAGGGCCTTAAACCCCAATTTTGAGACGTTTGGTATCACAAGTGCACAAACAATCGCACTTATGATTTTATTTACTAATTATATATTCGAAATTATAGTCTGATCAAAAAAGACAAATCATAAACATCACATGCTATCTGACTTACACCGGGTGTATCACTTCTAGTCCCACTAGCTTCATGGATTAAATTCAATCGCCAAATGGTGTGAAGGACTGCATGTAGCCCCTAGGATCCACTTGATGTTGTTGTTGGTTCGAAACTGCATCCACCAATTAAATATTCTATTTTTTTATGCACGCAAGATACCCCCGGCACGATTCTAAGGCACTTGGACGGCGATCTTGGTACAGCAATGAAGGCTGCAGATCCTGGCTTCGAACATTCTCGCTTGCCATTTCTGCTGGAAGTGACTTGTCTTAAAGAGGCAAACGGGTTCTTTCACCTACTGGTCTTTACTTGGTAGAAGGCATCATATGGTATCTGGGTCACTTTTGATGACATCTGGGATGCTATTGCTAGGCAAAAGGCCAATCTGTCCAAGACTATCTGGTGGCCCATCAAGATCGCAGCAAAAATGCCCATGCCAAGAGCATCAGGGCTGCCTTCGTGTCATGGTCCGAAGATCTGCATTCAGATCAAGCTCAATTCATGGCAGAAAAGCTCAAGACACTTTGGTTGTAACAAACCAATTTTGATTTCTTTTTTGGGGAGTAACACAGTAATCAGTTTACCTTTTTTGCCAAACCTGGATTACTCAGAAATTTTGAACTTAGGGCTGAGAAGGAGAGTTCCAAGATTCGATCCAACTTGATCCGGCAGTTGGAGGAGATACTTCAGGGCAAAGTTGAAACTCAAGTCAAATGCTGATTTTTGATGTTAAGATTAAACCAACATGGTTCTCCAGGGGCTATGACATGCGACTTTATGCATTGCCAAAAATGACAGGACTGCCACCAACGTGCTTGGTCTGTGGTAGACAGTTTCCTGAAGACAACCATGACGATCTTTGGGGGGAAAATTGGGGAAGCCGAATCGACGCTGATGCCAGAGGTTCGTTCATGGGTCAGGTCGATGACTCAGGAACTGGGACCGTCGCCGGATGGGACTGCCGTTATCCTCTTCATCAACCTTCCTGGGATGGGAATCCTGGGGGCTTCTGCCAAATCCTTCTTGCTTTCGTTTGTGACGAATATGTTGGCAGACTTTCCAGAAAACAGCGTCGCCCTCTTGGTTCATTCGAACCGTGCCAGCCAGCAAGAGGGGAGGACACCAATGGTCCAAATGCATTTGGTTGTTATTTTTATTTATGTCAAGGAATGGCTAGCATGGCAACTAATGACATATATTTTGATAGTCCATAACCATCCATAACTATCTATAACCATCCATAACCATTTATTCATCAGTAAGTTGAAAGATGGCAAAGTATTATATAGTAAGGGAATCCATCAGCAACCATCAACATTGGTTCCAAATATAATAGACTTTAATCAATACCCAATGGGTCAAAATGGGTCAAAAATAATACCAGGAAGCCTGGAGTGACGAAGGATGAGGACGAGGACATGGAAGAGAAGGCAGGACTGAAAAAAGAGGAGGAAGATGATGACGATGATGAGGATGGCAAAAATTCAAAGATTGAGGGGGAAGAACTTCAAGTTCGAGATGTTCAGTACAAGCTTGAGACCCTTTTCTTGAATGATCCCAAATCATCCCTATCCCTAGTTGTAAAATCCCATCAACCTGTTAAAGTCATGCCCCTTGTGTCACCCTTGCCTTGATCAATCGCCCATCGCCGTTGCTTGAGGAAGGACCTCGGCATGAAGGAGCGTGGGCTACGAATTCGCCCTCTCACGTGGGTGTTTGACCCGGTGCCTGGTCCAACAGGGGTTATCCAACAAAGGGGGGTTTCCTACTGACAATGGGGTTTACCCAATATCAACTCTATCCAATATCGGTTCATTGTTTATATTCAATTTTTGATTGAAGGAAAGAGAAACAACTTTAATTCAATGCATTGCTATGACTTTCTTTCCTCTATAACCGTTTGCAACCACTGTTTATGTGGCTATCATTCCAATTCTAAGGATTCAATCTATGGCAAGCGCGATGGAACAATTCAGGGCTTGGCAATGGTGCGGAAGGGTGCTCGATCACTGTTTCACAACACAAAGGGGTGGAAGCAGGGATGTGTCCATGGCGTGAAAATGGTCAGCCGCCAAGACATGTTCAAACCAGACCCTTGGATCTATTGGTGTATACTAAGGGGACATTCCAGAAATTAAATCATTTCTTGATGTAATCAAGCCAAATTCAAACAAACAATATCCAAACTTCTTTGGATTATTCCTTTGTTGGCCACCCTTCCATGCTGTGGCCGTGGCAAGGACACACCCGGCCGATCTTCGAGCTTTCCCCACCTGGGCCGTGCATTCACTGATGTGCAGGAGATGAAACAAGTGATTTGGCAAATAGCCATGCGAGAAACATGGAGAAAATAAGAATCACACTTCAACAAATATAGCACATCATATACTAAGTGATGCATCCATTAATTGGATCTCCTCTGGGATTGCTTTACTCTAATCGAGTCATTTTATTTGCAACCATGTTTTCAAACCAAGGCTGCTGCTGGCACAGACTTTGTTCGAAAAACCATCGAATCGTTTTTGCCAGCAACGGCAAAGTCAGTGGTTTTGGTGGATGTGATGGCCTACGATGGCGCGCCTGCTCTTGCAGCTCTGGAAGTTGCTCGCTCATCAAACCTTAGTCTGGGAGTGTTTGGATTTGTCGGCAACTTGGTGATAGTTTCTTGTGGGTAAAATCCTGCATTCTGGAAATCTTGAAACTTATCTTTGATAATTGCAAATCTATGATCATCAATGATGAATTGTTAAATATTGGAGGTGATTGGCTAGATCGTTGGGGGCCTGATATGATGATCTGTGGTCATTGACAATTGGGTATCAGGATATAATGATTGGTGGTGATATGACGGATTGAAGATGACCGAGAGTTATCCCAAGCCTAGTTCCATTGGAGATGATTTCGGGATAATAATCCAAGAAGACAAAATGGGGGTAATGATGCTTAGAAGGAGATCTTACATATCTAACATCATAATAAATTGGGGGTATCCAGCCACCTCATCCAACAAACCCACTGAGGAGCACAGTGATGGGAGGCCAATCGCATGCGGGACCATTGCCATTGAC